ACTGGCCGCACAATTTCCCATCGCCAAATCCATATTTATAAACTAGTCTCGCTGCAAGGCCGCAGTGGCAACCCACGTCGTCGTCGCAGCGCTGACTGATGGAGTCAAATGATTGCTGCGAAATCAATATGCTCCGTGTCTGGTTATCGTAGTCGATGAAGTAGTTTCGTCAAATTATCTGTTACTCTGTTCGAGTTTCTAATAGCAAGAGCACACTTTTGGCGGACATTAATCGATTAACCACGGAAATATGGATCGCAATGTTGGAACTTGTTGGTAAGTTCTAGCGGAACTGCTCTGCTTTCTTCTTCGTTTTGATGCACTTTCGTACCTATAATTGTCCATGTATGATTCCCTTCTTAAGGCTTTGCTTTTATCATTACAATGAGTGCTTCCCACGCAATCGGTTTTATCACAACATGCAATAAACGTTTTGCTACCCTTTGTTTGTTTGTTGTTTTCTTTTCAAAAAGGAAAAGTTTACAATGAGCCTCTTAACCTCTAATCTACGCCGCGGTCCCCAGTTGTTGTTGTTCACTGTGATTATTCTCTTTATGTGGTGTCTGATTCGTTTGTTTATTTTTTACACAGTGTCATCAGGCTGTTTTCAGCTGGCAGTCAAATCACAGACCTTACGAAGGGCCAGCTGTGCAAATGCCAACTACCGAATTTTCATATAGAAGCTGGTGCTCTACTGTCACTTCCTGGGAACGAAGAGACCAAATGTCACCAGGTCCCTGTAGTTCATCTGGACAGTGTAGATGAATGGAGTGAAAACAGAGAGAGGTTTTATGTGTTTGGTTTGAGTGCATGGTTGCGAGTGAAGCCTTTTGTCTCTCTGTTTACGTCTGATTTTAGTGTGAAGCTGGGAACGTGTTCTCCATATGTAGTCAGGTCACCTCTCATCAGGAAGACTTTGATCTGGCACACAGTGCAAGGTTTTCCTCATGAGAAGGAAGGGGCATATTTCAAAGACTCAAACAAAGTTTGGTAATGGTTTTTTTTTCTCTTGTTTGTGATAATATTTGACTGTTTGCTACAAATTTAATGTATTTGTTTTCTTGCAGGTTAAAACTTCCCATCAAATCTGCTGCAACCTTCCAAACATTTGTTTTGGAGATTTTGGGATTACATATGTTCAAGACAATGTGTTACCCATGTTCTGGTCCTGTGGATTTTGTCTTTTGCCATAGGAAGGGTAAACAACCCTCCCAAATTCTGATATATGGTGTAAGTACATGCCATTTAAGTCAGTACTTTATGTGCCTTGTGTAATTAATTTTTGCATATAACAGGTAGAGTCTGAAATGACAGTTGCTAGTTTTTTTGCTGGACTCTCAGCTTACGAAGACTCAGAGTGTCAGCAGTACGTAACTGTTTGTACTGAATCTTCATATAGTTCAGGGTGAGTGTTGTCATTATTGTGTAAACGAAACAAGGACCAAGTGGTTGCGTACTTACTTGAAATGTATTTTATTTCATGTCTAGGGTGGAGAACGGAGCTGCTTATCTTTTGCACAAAAACCATGACGGCAGCAAATGTCCCCAGGCTTTATCAGTAATGCAGGTGAATGCTGCTGAATGTGAAGTGCGTAAATAGAGCAAATTGTTGAGCTCCTTATTATTATAAGTCTATCTACAATATGCTCATTGTGATATTGATGCTGTTTTATAAACAATCCTTTTTTGCCAGGTGGAGGAAATGTCATTTCACCAGATCAAGTCAGAAATCAAAGTGGAACCAGAGTGGCAGCCACATCTGAAGCAGCGTGCGGAAGATACAGTAAAGGAACGGGTGGGAAGGAAATCACAGCCAACAGTAAAGTGCCCTGGATGTTTAGCAGTGTACTCTGGCAACTTGGCGCTCTGGGCCATCATATTATTAATAGTCACAGAAAGCGCGCAATGCTCTATAGAAGCAGGCTGCGAGCTCAGTTTAGTGCCTATTTTACACAAGCTGAAAAATCAGACTAAAGATTCATTGTCAATTTTTCTGTGTAAGGGTGAAAACATTTGTCCTGATTTTTGTTTGTTTAGAACAAGTCTGAACAACTACTGTTTAGTACATTGAAGTGCCACAACATGGACTTCTTTGTGTACCTATGTGAGTGTGTTAGACTGAGTGTGTTAGACCAATTATAATTGACAAAACCTTGTGTATTAAGGAATTGAAGTCAGGTATGCTGAGCATTCATACTATGAGTAAGGAGACAATTTTAATTAAGTGTTTATCAGTGTCACGTTTATTAGGTCTTCTGTAATATTGTATCTCTGACGGGTATGTACTGCTCCCGAGGAAAAAGTTGTAGTGTTAACTGTGATTTGTATTGGAATGAAATGTGTTGCTGAAGAAATTTACTACAACTTTCTTGTGCAGGTACATTACATTCAAATGAATACAAGACTTTTGTACTAAATCGAAGCCTGTCATCAGATGACAAATTATCTTTAACAGTGTGGTATTAGTTCTTGTCGTAGCAAATATATTTTTTTTTGAGCAATGGCAGCTAATACGGCTTTTTGTTTTGCAAAAAAAAATAACAACTCTTTTAAGAAGTTTTCACTTGGCAACACATTATTATGGAGCATTTGCAATATCTATCTTACTTTGTAGTCTTTGTTTTTGTTTCTTATGTTGTGTTTACATTTTATTTGATGTACAATTTCTGAACTTTTCTGAAAGGTGTGCTGTTTTTTCAATGTACATATAATGTATGTATATATACTGTAATGTACATATGCAAACATTACTGGTTGAATACAATGTGATTTTGGCTTAGTCAGTTAACATATTTTGTGACTGATCATTTCATTGGTCACTTATTGTGCATTTCCATGTTTAGGGAATACTGAAATTTGTCCTTGTTCTCAGCCGTGCTAGATGTGAAAAATATATGTCTGTACATGTACGATGTATTTTGTTATTTGCCAAGTCAATACCCAGGGCTTAAAATATTTATGATTTCAAATTGTAATTGTACAACTTCTTCCAGGAGAAATGTTCCTGTACCTGGTACGACAATTTTTTAGTGCTTGAGGCCATGTTTATATCTTGTGTCTGCTAGGTTGGCAGGAACCCGCTTCACAAACTTGGCTTTATCGTATTGTATAGTACTGTACAGTACTTTTTAGTATTGTTTGAACTAACCCAATAATGCTAGTAAGATTAATTTTAAAACAACACGAGCCCTGTGTAGGTTCCAAAGTTATCCAGTAAGTGGTTTCAATGTTTCAGTGATGACTGAAACACACCATTCTTTCCCAAATAACTTTTGTGTTCCAGTTATTCTCAGACTACCTTGTGTCCATCTAATGTTTGGGTGCTCCATGTAAATCAATTTTGCACCCACATCATATATTAGTAGGAATCTTATTGTAATTTCTGATATTAATGAATTCTCTGTTGTTAACTACAAAACCTCGCCCAGGCTCCAAGCTTAAGATTTATGAGTAATTGAAATTACCTAGCCAGGGTTTAACCTTTATATTTATTTAATTGCTTTAATAAGTTCGGTCTTTAGCCTGCCCTTCTGCTTTGGAGAGGGAACCTAGCTGGCTCATTCAAACGACCTGATGTCTGTTTTGTCTGATCCACTACAAGAAGATGTGCTAGAGACTTGAAATTTTCAAGGTATTTTAAGGTTCACTTCTAGAGAACGAATTGACTACGGCACTTCCTGGCAACAATCCCTAAGGTGCTGGAGGGGGGTATCAAAGAAAAGGGGGTAGGTCCAAAAGGGATTGTTTTCAGCCCGCCCTTCTGCTTTTAAAAAGCTATCCAGCGGGCCTATGCAAACGGCCTCGTTGTCTGTGTGCCTGTTGCCACGATGCTTCACCGTTACATTCCTTTATCATGTCTAATTGTAAGGGGCAAATTTCTACTCTTCCTATACTGTAGTGTGTTTTATCTGTAACTTGTTTGTCAATTATTGTTATGCGAGTTAGTTATTTGTTCTTGCTACTCCCTCAATTTGAAGCAATAAAACAGGTTGACTTTACTTTTATTTTTATAGAAAACTTAACAATACACCCCAAGAGATTCGGCTCCATACTATCTGTGGGGTTTACACATACAGAGGTATTCCGTGAGCTAACTTTCATTCCAGATTAGACTTGCTATATCGTGTTTCGGGTCCACGACACAACATTATGCGGGTTTGCCTACTCGTTCCACCTATAAGGCACCATGGCCCCCAGGGCTATGCAAACCCGCAACACTGCTGTGTCGTAGACCTGACACTCGGTACATTACTCGTTCACGAATCTTTACAACTCGGGTAATCGCGTACAGAATAAGGACTACCTCGTCACATTATCACGCATGAAAATGCCGAATTTAAAAGGGAACGTGCTGTTTAGGGCCCAGATAAGGATGCGTGCTGCGGTAGCACGTCTGCGGTAGCACGTCCCACCGTCCGGCCCGCAAGTCGGAAATCACTAACAGAATATCTATGCAAGCCTAGCCTCGGCAATGTCGTTCTTCACGTTGCTGTGCTGGGAGGGCGTGGAAGGAGGACTCGGTGTCGCTCTCCTTCGCGGCCGCGCGCACACCCCTCCCGCCGCGGCTGCACAGCGCGGTAGCATCTGCAGATACGGGTACGAGAGTCGCGTGGACGGGCGGACGGGACGGGGTACTCGTTTGCGCACAGCTGCGCCTC